AATTAATGATTAATAATTATTAAAAATTGATGATGCCAACAATGACTCATTGGATTTTTTTTATAGGATGGGACTGTCTGAGGGAAATATGTCTGCATTATTAAATAGTTTACTTGTTAATTACGACAACAGGCTACGACCCAACTTTGGAGGTAAATTTAAGTCATGCTGCTATGCCCTTTCTGTGCTGCATCACCTGTAGTCTACTAATGAAATTCCCAAAACATAGATCTTAATTGATTATTACTGCGATAAGAATTTTATACTTGTCTTTTGTTGATGTTTATCTTGCTTTTTTTTCCAGGAAAACATGTCGTTGTTACTGTTGGTTTTTGGATTTTATCAATCGATGAAATAAATGTTATGGATATGGTGAGTCGAGATTTTAACCTCATCCCCAGGGTCTCTCCTCTTTGTTAGGAAAAGGACCTGGTAACGAGGCCACTGACATATGCCGTTTCATTGTTGATTTTCGGCTAGTCCAACTGTTAAGTTGGTATCTTTTACATAACTTAACTTTCGTTCACTGGGGGACTAATTATACAACTATTCAAATGCTTTTTTATTTAGTATTCCGACGTCTCTCTCTGTCTTCCTCACTCTCTATCCTTTCTTTTGTCCCCAGCTCTCCTCAACACCTCCCCTTACTCTATAGTTCGTTGGCTGTCGCATTCCTTTCGCTATATACTCCAGTTTCTAATTTTCCATCTGAAAGATCAATTTTGTTGTCTTTCTTCACGAATTCCATGCGCCTTTTCGGGAAATCAATGAGACAAAAGAACATGTTGCTTGGTTTTGGGGATAATAAAGTGTAAAAGAGATTGCTAGAAGGAATTACTGCTACTGACTAACAGTGCTTTCTGTCGCAGGATTACAGAATGGATTTTTTCCTTCGTCAATTATGGCATGATCCTCGATTAAAGCACTCTTTCAATGGGACCTTAGCTTTAGGTAACTACATGATGGATAAGATTTGGGTCCCTGATACGTATTTTGAGAATTCAAAGAGCTCAAGCTTTCATAAAGTCACGACGGTGAACAAAATGTTGACTATAACATCAAATGGGGATGTTCATTATAATTCAAGGTGAGTTCGAAGTGAATCAACCAAATATTTGACTTAAAGCTTTTTTGTATCCCGAGTATCAGTAATTTATCCGTAATTACAGCGCCATCTTGAAAGGTAACCGTGCCTTCATTTGCAATCTGCGACGGTTGAGCTTAGAGCATCTTTATCTATCAAAGTAAGATAAATCGCTTCTTACTTTGWTTTTTTTACTTTGACAATGGTGCTGCTACTTCAAAAGTGAACTCTATATTGTCCACACGTTGTTTTTTCTAAGAAGATGCATGAAGTCACCTGCATGGGTGTTCCATTGAACTAGAAAAAAAAGTTCCCAGCATGTCTCAAAGAATAAACTAATTGTATCAATAAAAGCGTTATAATAACATTACTTGGTCAATTTTGTAGGATAACGGCCACAGCCAGCTGTCCYATGGATTTACGAATGTTCCCTATCGATATCCAAGAATGTGGACTAAACATAGAAAGTTGTAAGTTTTTTCACTATACTTACTTATTAGTAATATATCATTATGTATATCTATAGTTCCAACAACGATTTTTTCTTCGCTCTAATTGGTCGAGAGTSGACCACTTGACGCGATAGTGTCCGCGCGAGGGCTAATATCTCAGGCATTTTGCTGTGATAGTTGCTCTTGGAAATCAACTGCATGGATGTCCCGAAAAATTTAAAAGTCACTATATTTTCTTTTCTGAACATCCAGGTTCCGCGGGCAACTATCGCAGCATAATGCCCTCGATTGAAGAACTATATACTATGTTTAAAGTAAAATAGCATAGCAAATTAAGATGGTGGGCGTGGGACATGGAATTCTTTGATTTATTTTCAAACCTCTTTTCTTTTATTAAATTACAAAAAAATTAGTTATTTAATTTGTTTTGTTTTCATGAGCTACAAGGGGCCTGCGTGTTTAGTTGGTCGCATTTCATCATTTTTTGCAGATGGTTACAATGCCGATGAAATGGTGTATAAATGGGAGGATAGAATTGACAATGGTATTGCTGTGAACAAGAAAACACGTGATATGCCGCAATACAACTTGACAAAAATAACAGCAAAACGCATCTTTACGATGTATTTTTCAGGTGAGCAAGAAAACGGAATATGTTAGCTCTTTCGTGGAAAATGACAGTTTTCAGTTATGACAAATAACAAGTGTAAGGCGCCAAATCATGATATAGAAATGAAGAAATGTTTTAGTTCTTAGAAGTAGGTAATTCCGGGAGAAGGACACTTAGAAATAAATTCGGAAAAATTGATTTCCGACCTCGCTTGGATTCGAAACCACGACCCTGCATTTGTACTACCGATGCTCTACAAGCTGAGCTATACCAGGAATCAGCTTTATGAATCCACTGAAAGAATCTGAAAAATTAGAAATCGGTGTCGGATCACCCCACTATCGAACATTTTGGACAAATTTCCCACCCCAAGAAATTGTATGATGCTTGCACGTATTGCCTGTTGACAGAGTCTCTCTCGTTGTGTTTCCCACGAGTAATCGAGAGTAATCCATACCAAAAATACTGACATGTATATACATTATCTTCATTTTTCAGGCAACTGGTCTCGTCTGTCTGCACATTTCCAGTTCCAACGTCGATCTGGATATTTCTTTATTCATATTTATGGACCATGTGCTTTAATCGTAATTATATCGTGGATATCGTTCTGTATTCCACCCGAATCGACGGCAGCGAGAATAGCACTGGGAATTACATCAGTACTGACAATAACAACAATTTTAAACATGTTAAATAACTCAATGCCTAAGGTAAGTTAAATTAGGAACTCTAGTAAAGTTATTGAAAACAAGGTACAAAATGGAAAGTATAAGGTGTCATCTGATTTTCTATCTACTCTATATCTGGGACTATCTGGGACTATCTGGGACTATCTGGGACTATCTGGGACTCAATATCATATAGTACCCGGTCACATATCACGATAGAGTACTTGACATACTAAATGTCTTCTCTTACATGGAAAACTCTTGTTTTTATGCATGAGCTCCTTAATTGGGCTATCTGACGTACATAGATTTTTTYTGAAAAATCATGGTGCATTGTGGTCTAGATTCAGTACAAACGACGCCATATTTGGCAGCATGAACAAAAGATCTTTGTACCAAATCTAGACCACAATGCAATGCAAACTSGCATCTCAGAAAAGGCCGTTACAAGTGAATGCAATAGACAACTGTGATTGGACTACTAGTTTATCCAGAAAGATGGCGTCTTATGATTGTATATTCAAAATGGCAGCCATCATCGACTTCAATCAATCAATCAATCAATCAATCAATCAATCAATCAATCAATCAATCAATCTTTATTTATTCATATCCAATATTCATCTAATTTACAAAATATTTTGATTCTAATGTAATGATATGAATAGGTACCTAGAAAAAGCAATAAATGCTTATTGCTATAGGCACCTCTCTTCATTTATCAATCTATTTCTGACAAAATGATTCATATCTTTCTTTGGCGTCGTCACACAGGTTGCTTATGTTAAAGCCATCGACTGGTATCTTATCGGATGTTTTCTGTTTGTATTTGGAGTGTTATTTGAATACACACTAGTGCTGTACATAGACAACGTACACAATAGAAGACATAGACGACGAATGAAAAAACGTAAGAAGGTGAGTACCATCTTGTGTATAAGTAATGTGGGGCCACAGATTGCAGGCCCTGAACTTGTGACCACACTCTCAAGTAAAAAATAAYAAGGGGCMCTTCTGTTGGCCCAGAATCTATAAAAAGGCGGGCGGTTAGATATGTTTGTATTTTGTCAGGGTACTGTTTAACTTCTGCTCCGCTGTTTTGTTGATTTAAATCTAATTTTTCTTTTTCTCTGTTGTTGCTTTGGTGACCACAGTAGCATGTATGCATTTTCCGATTTTGCTTTACTCATAGAGGCTGTACAAAATTTTAGAGATTAATCAGTTAGAAACATTCAAGAGGATGTCGCAGGACGTTTATTAAGGAGAGGATAGTCCGAATAGATTAATCATATTTTAATGGACTATTTAGTGTGTTTCTTATATCAATTATATTGTCATTTCGGCTTGGATATTTTAGAAATTTTAGATAATATTGYAGGAAAAAAACAAATTTTGRGGATRCCGTTGCCAAGGTACACCGATTGAAGAAAACGTGACATTTTTTTAAAACATTTCCATCTACTATATCGTATATATATCGGTACTAGTCAAATAACGACACCCGTCAACTAAGTTTTGCATTCACCGAAAAAAGCGGGAAAAGAAATGAGGCCTTTAGTCATATTGTATGTTTATTGCATTTGATTATTTCTTATCTTTTCGATCTTATAATAATTTTTTCAAGTTGTTGTATAAAGCTACAGAAAGGTATTACAAGCGATCCTATTGTTCTAACCTGATTGGCTGAAGAACTCATGCATTGCTAATGAGCTTTGCAAAGCAATGACAAAAGAACAAAATTTCAATTAGATTATTTACTAGGCACGAAGGCCTGTACACGGCTTGTTTTTTCATCCTAATTACAAAGAAAACTTTTATTTTATAATTACCAAAGAGATATAACATATTTTTGGTACTGACATAGGATATTAAAGTGAAGGTTTTGAAATATGATACGAAGTCTTTTGCAATATTTCTGGTCAGAAAACATCACTTTTCAAGGTTGACATCTATTTAGACTCCTTGTCATCTTAATTTGTTCAAAACAAAAGAATTAAGAACAAAAGGATAGGAGTCTTTGTTTATATACATTAAAAACGCCTCTCCGATAGACCAAGTGGTCAGATGGCAAGCCGTGATCGTATAGTGGTTAGTACATTGCGTTGTGGCCGCAATAACCCAGGTTCGAATCCTGGTCACGGCATATTTTTTTTTTCATTTGTTTTTTCAACATTCACATTAATTTTCTCTTTTTTTCTTCCCTTTGGCTGCTTTGGGTATCATCAGACAATATCAAAAGATATGTGAAATTCTGTAACAAGCTTTTTTTGAAGTAATACTAATAGGTTTTTAGCACTTCATGATGAACAGGCTACGTTTACATGTGGGGTCTCTTGTTTCTTTTTGGCGACCAAACTTAGTTTAACTTAGTGAATTAATATAGTTTTGAATTAGGGTGGATTTTAGATTTCTTTGGAATAAACTAGAAATAATATCAGCGAAAAATCATATATTCATCTTAAATTTCATCTACATTCCTCTCGGATAAATTCAACCAGGGACGTGGTTCAACTCATCACGTCTAGTCGAGAAGTCGCTTTCCTAAGATTCCGAAAAATATTGTTAAGTTAGATAGCATGATTTAACGCCAGAATGCTCGAGGATTTTTGTTGACGTTGTTGTTGTTTTGCTATATTGATAAAGTATAAAAGAGGCCCTACACTCACGAAAAATATTTTTCCCATACCGGGAGTCGAACCCGGGCCGCCTGGGTGAAAGCCAGGAATCCTAACCGCTAGACCATATGGGAATTCAATAAYAATTTTCAATTMAACTGTTTTAGATTGACGACACAGATGAACTTGATGAATACAGACCACTTACAGAAGACTTTCAAACTCCGTCGACAAGAAACAGAAGTCACCAAAATGGCCACTGCCATCAAAATGGAGGATTACCGAATGGATTTCAATCAGTAAGCTATTGATTTAGTATAAAAATATATATACCCAAAAAAATATTCAGCGTAATAAAAGCTGATCATTCATTAGCCTGAGTAGCCAAGCGGTCCTAGCTTCTCCGATAGAGTTTTGCATTTTGACGGAGAATTTTACGTCGTAGCGAAGAGATGAGATTTGTAGGGCCATGACCTTGCTCTCTGCTTCGGCTCGCCAGAAATTCGGGTTCGAAGCTATATTGCCAGTTTCTCCTAAACTCCAAGTCATAGCTAAAAACCCATACCTTTTTTTCACATTTCTACAGTCAAACCAGTACAGCACAGTTTATGTGAAACCAAGACAAAGAAAGGACACAGAGTTCGAGAAAAAACCCAACAAACCAAAAAGAAGTTTTCTATGTCGAATAACTTGTCGAGATTTAATCAATAGCGAGTGTTTAGATAGTTATTCTAGAGTTCTTTTTCCATTATCGTTTGCCGTTTTCAATGCTGTATATTGGCTTGTGTTTATGCAGTTCATAGTTGTTGAGGTATAGAATATATTTATAGTATAACTTATTTCTTATGGGTCTCCTTTCGCAGCCGTTATGAGACTCTTTCCCAAGTCCAACCTTAGACCTAGTAACGAGCCTCATAGCGTCTGCGAGAAAAGACTAGTGTTGCATAGGTCGATATATGAATTCCATTAAAAAATACATATAATTGTCAAGAGTAGTTTTCTTAAAATGTTTATTTTTGTCTTCTTGATCTATGACTGTAAATAAATTGCACGAATATTGTTTCACACTACTGTTGGGCGATCTAAAATTGCCCTTATTTGTTGGCGAATAAGGTGTGTTCCCAAATCCCTGGAACCCAGCTAGTTTATAACACWCTCTCTCTCTCTCGTTTTTAAAACTATAATATTATTTTTATTTTATGCCCGCAAGATATTATATTTCAGTATTCGTCGTAATTGGAGTTGAGATATCTCACACGACGACATTGCTCATTTCATCTCAGTACGCCGGCTAGCTTTGCTATTCTAATTTCTCCGGCTGTGTTGGTTCAGTTTTGATAAACAAATCGGGTATAATACAGATGTTTGCTAGTAATCATTTCCACGTACAAATAAGAATACCTGAAGTTACTTTGGACAAAGATAAATAAGAAGTTTTGCTGACTTTGAGAGAACAAGGAATATCTACATAAAATAAACAAGAATTGAAAGTCTGTTTCTTTCCCCAAAGCTTATTTTCACACCATCTACATTTTAACTAAAAAACTATTAATTCCATAAATTAATGTTGGTCTAAAGTGTTTGTTTGAATAGAAGTGTCCACTGTCTGCACCTTTGATAAAACGTAATTTTCAAGTTTGTTACTGCTCTGCTAATTTTTGAATGCAACGTTCAAGGCTAGGCATCGTTACTAGATTTTGAATTTTTCGTGATCCGCACAAGAATTTCGTCTTCGCATGTTAGGTTCGTTTGAGTTTGCGCTTCGCATTTCCTGGAGCTCAATGGTATTTCGTCGACTTGTTGAATGGTTTAGTACCTCTCCTCGACAAAATACTTTCCTCGCTGCTCCTCTGAAGTCAGACAGAAATATGATGTATATGCAAGGACTGAAACAGGAGTTGATAATAGGTAGAAAATACTTCACAATAATACGAAGAGACCTTAAGTCAATGCAGACCGATGAATTGGTCAAAATACCAGGTGCATCCTTTGGTAGAATGAAAGCGTCGACYACCAGTAAAAGCTGATGTATGAATTTAGGGATAAAGCAGAGAGGATATAACAATGYCGAAACTAAAACCGTTCGAACTGCTGCTTCAATTCGACGTTTTCGCATGTTTAACTGTTCTCTGCTTAAATTGGCTTGGATGGGCAGTGGTTTGGACAGTCGTCTTGTTGTTTGAATGCTAAGAACAACTATTACGCAACATACAATAAGGATCAAAAGATTGTAAATCGACAGAAAATAAAACGCTAATGGACCAGATCCTCGTCTAACATCTATCATACAATCACCCTTAGTGGAGAATGCTACTAGATACGTCGTGCAAACAGAGGCTGGCAAGGGAATCAACCAGCAGAAACCAAGTACAGCAAAACGTTGTTTCTTGGTGAGTCTTTTTGAATTCTGAAAAGCACTTAGTCCTACTGCTTTAAATCGTCCGATGCTGATAACTAAGAGGCTGAATAACGACACCTTGTATGAGGTTTCTTTGACAAAAGATGTAAGTTTACAGAATATTACACCGGCCAATGTACTGGTGGGATATATCGATTTAATGCCAGTAAGCCGTGGACCATCACTCAATAACAACATGACGAGAAATAGAGCATCTGATACGGCCATGTTAATGATCAAATGATGCAGGTTCTTACGTTCTAGGAATTTGACAGCGAGTATGATGACGAAGATGTTGAGAGAAATCCCTACTGTAGTTAGGAGAGCGAAGACTACACGTATTGAAATTTGCTCTAAATCGCTATATGGTTCATTGTACTTGCAGTGGGTGTTTGCCGAGCTTGTGTTCGAGAAATTGTAAAGTACTAAGCTTGACTCGTTCATCCTTGTGTAGTTTATCTGCCTACACTTTGTGTATATATGTTCGTAAAATTACACAAAGAATGACACGGGGACACTCCTTTATGTCTAATGGTTAAGTCACAAAGCATGAAAGATGTTCTCTGAGGGAGTCTTTTTAAAATTAAAATTTATTTTGATCCAAGCACTTCAGCTGCTGGA